ACATTGCTCAATATCATGAAAATTTAACCTTATTTTCAATAAGCAATCCTGAAAATATTTGGGGTGCTTAACTTTTTCCTAGGTGTATATATATATATATTTATTATTTTCATTTTATTAACCTTTCAGCTGTGTCTGACTAACATTGCAGAACTTGTAGTGAAGATTTTGTATTTGGACATCAGAAACATCTAATTTGAATTAAAGCTGCATTCAACAAAAATCTATATTTAAGAATATTTTTTGCATTTACTTTTAAGTTAACCCTATCGCCAAAGGTATCCTTTACTGTGCGTGACACAAGGTTTTAGTATCTTGTATTCAAAATTTATAGCATAAAATCTTAGCTAATAATACATATTTTAATTGTATATAAGTTTTTAGTTTTTAATTCTATAAGGCAATATTTAAAAAAATCCTGAATTTCCCCTAGTGTGATACATGTGACACATTTTATCTAGGTATCTTCTATATTTTATCCACCATCCCTCCAATAACTACAAAATTCAACGTACATTACTCACTATAAAATCATCATTTCTCAGACAAACCATAATTTTCATAGCCTTCAATTTTATTTGGTTACAGAGCCATCAAATAGAAAATCAGACCCCTCCTGCTGTCACATCCTCTCTTTCAGGATTTGTTAATAGTTCTCTCTTTTGTTTAATTATATATTACATATAACCACTAGAAAGCGAAGGTTTTCATCTATTCAATGACGTATTATATTATGTTGTGTTCTGAACAGATAATCATCAATTTCACTTGTAATACAGCTTTGGTTCTCATGGAAAACACAACAGCTAGCTTGGATGAATTTGTTATGGCTCTTGTCGATTAGTTAGAAAGCCAGAAAAATTATGATTGTTAGGGGAAATTGTTTGCTTTTTCATGTTATTCTGTGTTCTTTAGTGCATTACTTAATTGAATAAAAATTATTAAATGCACTACTACCATTAGTATAAGAAAGTAGGGTTAAGTGTCATCGGTAGTCAACAGCAAAAACAAAATACTTGAGTAAGTACTTTATGTTTTGTTTTTCATGTTTATTCTTTATTTATTATTATAAAAGTAACTAAAATGTAAAAATGGGGATCTCTTTAGGTTAGTTAAAGTTAGATTAGGTAAAATAAACAATAATAATATAATGAAAATATTTTGTGAATAGCTTGGAGTAGCTCGTGGGTAATGTAATTTGATAATGTAACATGAGCTGCACATTCCCAAAGTGATTTACAACTTACAAAGGCATGAATAGTAGTTAGACACGGTTCAAAGGGCAATAAAACAATAAACTATAATTGTAAATAGATGTATACTGTTATGAGTTTAAAGCTACTTAGGGTAAACAAATGTAGTTTCATGCTACATTTGAAGTCATTCTAGAAAGAAAAAGAGGGTAATTTAGATTTATTTCAATTTATTTTGGTGGTTACGAGGTCAGTCAAATTGACCAACCTTGTATAGAGTTAGCATAAAGAAAACAATAGATAAAGATAAAGTTTTACTGAAAACAAACATTGGAAATGTATGTAGGAGGTTTTAGAGATTACACAAATGAAATTTGATATTTTTGAGATGAAGAAAAGTAATTTTAATCTTAACATGAATATCACTTTATACATGGACTATTTAAAACAAATACTCGATATATTCAAGGACAAATCTTTTTTTTTAGTTTATTGAAAATACTTCACTAAGAAATGTGATTTTTATTATGTGAAAGACTTATAATGTTTACTGAAAGATTGCCAAATTTCATGAAGATACACACTATATTAAAAGTTAGTAGTATCAAATCTATAAAGACTTTGAATGAGTAGAAAGAGGTCACGTGGTTGGTTAAATTGACCGAGCCCATGTTGAGAGAGTTAAGAAATTAACTAATGTATAAATGCTAAAATTTGAATTATATTCTATAATGTAATACCAAACTTATTGACATACATTCATAAAATAGTAGTTGAATAAAGTTTTATGTCTACAAATGTGATAACATGCTCTTTGACCCCTGACCATAGGAAAAACAATTGTTAAAAGAGGAATATGCCAAAGAGTACTTCAACATATTCTAATAAAAACTGATCTGGATCTCAATTAAAATAGTCTATTCATATGATCCCTAATTAGTTAACTATGAACAGTGATTATCAGTGGGAAGCTGTTTTATGTGTTACATGCGGTTGAGTTAGGAGTGAGGTTGGTCATTTGGTTTTCATTAGTCTGTGAGAAACACCTTTAAAAATATACCATTTTTGTTACATAAACTCAGTGAAAATATTGTTTTATTTGGTGGTTTATACCATTGGACTAACAAGAGATAAATGCTAGTGCAGAGTTTCCAAATAGAAAATATTAAGCATTTTTCACTTTCCATTCTATATTGAAATATGTTAACTTATAAAGCAGAAAATTCTTGTTCACTTTTATGTTTTATTGTTAGTTTTCAGTTAAAATTGATAAACATATCTAGAACAACATATTTTATAAGTTTGGTATACAATTTGTACAGATTCTCTCTCCCAAGAGCACCCTTTGGTGGTGTATGGATTGTTGCCTCATGAACAGAAGATGTCTGTCTTGAATATTGTGGTGAAAAAACACTCATCATGTACAGAGCCTATCAAATCAAAGGAAAGGCTTATTTTCCATGTTGGATACCGCCGGTTTTCAGCTTGTCCAATCTTTTCTTCACACTCAAATGGAGACAAACATAAGGTAAATATTTACTTGTTTATTTTGTTTGTAAATTTGATATTAGTAGCACTTGATTTGTTAGTGATTTCTTTATTTGTGTGTAAGTAAAATAGATAAATGATTCAATAACATTGTAACAGCCACTTTTTTGTTTATAAAACTTGTGTGTACTCACAAAGTAGCTTGAAAGTATTGAAAGAGTTCTGTATGAAAGGTTCCCGTTATTATTATTATTTGTAGTTAAACATTTTATTTTCATGAGTTTTTACATGTTTGTGCTCAGTATTTAGTCAGATCTATAATGAGATGTTTTAAATAAGCTTCTAAAACCATGATCTAGAATTGTTATGATTTTATTTTATATATCTGTAATATATTTTGGCAAAAAAATTTTTTCTTATAGAATTTGAAGATCTAAAGTGCTTTTTGCTGTTACATTCATTTATTTATTTTTTCTTCAATGCAGTATGAAAAGTTTCTAAGAAGTGATGTTGCTGTGGTTGCTAGTATGTATGCTCCTATCATCTTTCCACCAGCCCCAGTTTTAGTTTTTAAAGAATACTGTGATGGTAAGTAGTAGCATGTAGTATTCTTTTAAACATTTCAGAATTATTGTTTTTAAGCAACCTAAGTGTGACAGATATTACTGAAGAAATGCATTTTAGAGATAACTTTTTTTCCATATAGAGTCGGTTGATGTGACTGATCTTGTAACCACAAAGTAACCATCAAAGTTTCCATACTATATTTTGAATACATTTTCTGTATCATCGTGAAATTTGACAAGTTTTCAATTTTTTGTACGTGAAATTGTAATTTTGTAATTAATTATTTTTACTAAAGATTTGTCCATGAATGTGTGAAATCAGTGTGTTGACTGCTTAGAGGGCAATGTTATTTTCATGCTAAGACTAAAAATGCTTTTCTTCATCTGAAAATTTTCAAATTTCATTTGCATAATCCCTAAAATCTCCTAAATAAACATCAAACTTTTTAAAGTAAAACTTTATATTTTTGAACTATATGGACTTGGTAACAAAATAAATCTAAATTATCCTTTTTTTATTTCCAAAATGACTGCAAGTTGTAACAGGTAACTACAATTTTTATTCTAAATATCTTAAGGATCATAACTTGTCTACCCCTGTTTATACTTAGTTTTGTCTTTTTTTTTTATTGCCCTTTGATCCATGTCTAACTAATAATCTTGGTACACAAGTTGTAAATAACTTGGCAAACATATATCCCACATTACTGTATTGAATGATGTAATGCACAAGCTGCTTGTGAGCACAACTTATGAGGAATTTTCATTTTTTCATTATCTTACGTAATTTAACCTAATTAGTTTCTAATTTTTACATTTTAGTTACTTTTATAACCATAAATAAAGCATATACATGAATAACAAGAAATATAATACTTACATTTGACCTTGTTTTTTTGCAGTCGGTTGCTAATGAAATTTAAGCCTACTTTTTTATATTAATGATACTAGTACATTAAATTATTTTTATTCACTTAAGTAATGCACCTAAGAACACAGAATAATAACATGAACAAAGCAAACAATGTCCTATAACTATTATAATTTAACTGGCTTTCTAACTAGGACAAGAGAGGCTTAAATTTATTTCCTCCATTCCTCAATTTGAACACCATGAGATAACCTTTCAAGTTGATTAAGAAATTGACAATACTCTGTACTAAAAACAATGTAGCATTATACATCTTTCAATAGAATAAAATTTTGGATCTTCTGTTGGTTATTAATGATATAGTATAAAACATCAAAAAGAATTACTGGCAATTTGTGAAAAAAATGTGACACGTGGACATGCGTTTTCTAGTTTATGACTCCTTAAATAAATAAGATTGAAGGCTAATAAAATTAGACTTTGCCTTACTAATATCTTTATTATAATGAGTAATTTACATTAAATTCTGTACTTGAGAGAAGGATAGTAAATATATTAGAGAAGAGGGAAGACCTAGAGAACAAATGATGGATTCTCAAAGTATGAAAGATTGAAGATTTTTAAAAACATTTCCCTATAAAATTATGAACTTAAAACACATGTAATGTTAAGCAATTATTAACGACATTATGACATTAACGACATTAACTTTATTTGTATAAGTTAATGATAGTTTAATTTAATTGAATGTAAATCTGTAAAAATACTAGAAATAAATAACCTTATAATACAGAAATGTTGTTTTTATTTAATTAGACACTCAACATTTCGTTTTACAGCTTCTTCAGGAGCATTCATTAACACAAATTGAAACGTACAGTACAAAGCTTCAAGATTAGTTCATTGTATTTTTCTACATTTATACTCAGTCAGAGAATTCAGAATAACTTTATAATATATATTGTGTTGATTCTCCTATTTTGTTGCTGTGAGGGAAATAAATTTCACCTGAATATACCAGTGTTATGATGTGAGCATATTTTAATGTGTTTTGATCTGATCCACTTGTAATAGTTAAAGTATCCATAAATGCCTTATCATATTATGACATTCTTGACAAAGCTGCATTGCCTTCATTGATGAAACTATGGGAAAAGGTCATACCTTATTAGCTTGATAAAGCATTTTGCCATACCATTCTCACACTGCCCAAATGTGGTTTGACACTAACTTAGAATATGCTTTGGCTAGACATTTGAGCTTAACCTAACCCACTGTGTGTGTGTTGGGGGGTGGGTGCTATATAAAACTGTCTGAAGGACAAATAAAGACAGACCTTGAAGCCTGATTGTGCTTGGAGTTGTTTTGTGAGAGGAATAATTGTGTAAGATCACCAGACATGTACCAATTGTTGGTTTCAAGTGTTATTAACACAGTTTGTAATTAATGCTAAAGATGGGCCAACTGTATTAAAATGGGGCTATTTCAAGATGTACTATTGGTGCTTCATTGATTTATATGCTAGAAGAGTTTAGCACTAGCCAAAACACAATATCTCCCTCCAATTAAGGCTTTCCATTGCAGTACATTTGTCAGTGATTAGTCCAGGTAGCATGGCAATGTACTTTATTCCAAACCACTGACCACAGGGAGTCAACTGGTGGGCAGCAAGGACTTTATTATTTTATTATTCTTTGATTTATTTTATTATTTACACTAATTGACCAATGTAATTAAGATGATCATTTTAATACTATAATTTATACTACTATTATACACTTTGAAAGTTTGTAAATCTAAAAGTAAAATCCAAACTAACCTTGTTAAAAAAAAAAGAATTATCTACTTCAGATTTTAATGGTTAATAAATATCCCTATGAAACTCCATGTACTGTTTTGAATTATTTACGCTTTGCTTTAATAATGATAAAATAAATAGATAACTAAATAAAATAATTTTGTAATTTAATTTGTATGATGTGCAAGAGAATATGGATGTGATAAATTATTTTTGTAATAACTTGAGACACACAAAGAAAAATTTCCCATAGTTAAAAGTATCTCCTTTACTTTGCTCTCGCACAATTGATTGCTAGGCCTCATGCTATTTTCCATTTCTATAATATTATCTGGTGCTTGAAATACTTTAAATATAAATTGAGTTTGTGGATGTATGTAGTGGTATTAGTAAGGATACCTAACTGTTGATGTGATGTAATTATTTAACTGCATGTGTCAGATGATATGTTATGGTTGCCAATTGTCAATTAAAAGGCTTTTACTTATACTTCTTAATAGTATAAATATATACTGTGTTGTTGTTAGGTCTATTCAATTGCTTTAGAATTTCAGTTGATAAGCCGAACTATATTCCCTATTACTATCACACTAGTATTGTATGTGCTGTATGATGCATTTACAATTGTGGCATGAGTTACCTCAGTCGTATACAACTCTTACAGTAATTGTTTGGTCTTCTTTCTTCAAAATATCCTCTGTTCCTTTTGTCACTGTGCACTCAGGCTGATTCAATTACTTTAGAACCATGCTTTGATGGAATAAATTCTTCTTCTTATCTCCTTTTCTACTGTTAGTCTTACTCTAACATATTAAACGTTAGGCCTATCACTTCTACAGTAGTTAACTTCACGACAAACTTTTCTTTGGCTGTCCATTACTCTCTTCCGCTATTGTCTGTCTGATGTTTCCACTCGTCTCACACTATTTATATGTTTATCACTTAATCGTCTGCCCGTCTTCTAGAAATCTTCATATTCTCGACCTCATTGTATTACATGCGATATCTGATAGTCTCAACATCAATGAATTATAAACACAACTTCCAACAATTGTCTGCTTTTAATTCTTATTATAACAAAAAACTAAACAATCATGAAATGTTAACTTATAAAATAATTAATTAATAATATCTACACTAAACAGTCTCTTATATCATGACAGCATGTTTTATGAGCTTTCACACTTAAGTTTATTAAATGTTAACAGTTTTAAACCAATTTAATTAAGTTATTCTGTGACATTAATTTTTTAAAGTAACTAATAACTAATTTTCCAATGCAGTTTGCATACAGGTCTAGTATGCAGGCTTAAAGTTGGATCTAACTTAACAATGATTGGTTACTACTGTTACTTTTAGCTTATTCAGATATGATTAACTAGATTTAGTTTTATCTCATTTTCTAGGTTTTTCATATACTTCAAATATTATTAATTGTCTATTATCTGTACAAGTAAAAGTTTATTCTTATGTATCTATGTATGTGTGTGATTGTATTTACATAAGATAATTATTTTCAAAAGACACCTTATATCTGCTTCATAAAAATATAACAAAATTAGTGATATAAAATTTGATATTAGTTCAGCTTTATTTCTGAATTCTGTGACAGTACTGTTACATGCAGATTTTATCATTGTCACTTACAATACACATTAGATTTCTCTGAACACTTGACAAAGTTAGATCTTTTTTGAAGCCTAGTATTAATATCATGTGTATTGTGTTTTATTGTTAAGCACAGAAATTTTAGTGTTAAAAATCTTTAAAAGAAATAAATTATCTTTGGAGAAAGAACACTATATCAATTACCTCCCTTTTTCAAAAATGAAAGTGTGTTTTTTGTAATGTATTAGACTGTTAAAAACTTTCATCATTGTAGGGCCACTAGTATCACATTTTTAAGCTCCACTTTTGATTTTGTATTGTCATTGGATTTTGGATAATTATAAAACAAATTAGTTTTTGTTTTATGCACATTAATTGTACAGTTTCATGAAATTAATTACAAAATATCACCTTATTTGTGCATCAGTTACTTTTATTAACAGTGCCCAAAACTTAAAATCTTGTGAGTAGCATTCTTAGTACATTTTACCAGTTGTTGAACTAAAATCTCTTGAAATGTGTTATGTGACTTGTGCTCTTCTACTAGCAAAAACATTTGAAATTTTCTCGTTAGAGATGGTGATGATTCATCCAATTCTTCAAGTTTAGCCTGATAACTTTTCATTTAATCTCTAAATTATTCAATCTTGTTTTCAGAGTCACAACATCTTGTAGCATTGGGCACAGTCCTTGATGTAAACCCCGACAGGATTGTAGCTAAACGAGTGGTTCTCAGTGGCCATCCTTTCAAAATTAATAAAAAGTCAGCAGTAGTTCGATACATGTTTTTTAACAGAGGTAAGTTTTAGATAGCTTAAACAATTTTATGTAGTGAGCATTATTTTTTATAAAAGCACAACAGATTTAATTTTTTTCATTACTGCAGTGATTTTGATATAAATTATTAATAGAATGTCAGGTTAAATTTAATAACAGGATGTGAATTTTTTTTTTAGGTCGGAAACATCGTCTGTATTTAGTGGATTAAGATGACTATGCTGCATTAATATGATGTTAATAACTGAAGTATAACAGAATTATACAAAAATAAAACTACAAGAAAAGAATTTTATCAATCCAAAATTATTCTTGGGCTTTAATAGGTTAACAAAACCTTTTGGAGGGAATTTATTAATTTGAACTTCTAAAAATCTTCTTGAAGCCTGAAAACATTAAAAAAATATCTTGTTCAGAATTTCATTAGAAAATCCTCAGAAAATCTCTGACATTTGGATTATTCAAAATTACCATGGAGTATGGGTATGTATGAAACATTAAGATACATTTTCATTAACTTGTAGCTCTTGTTTACATGATATTTGCCTGAGAAAATTTATTCTTGTGTTGCATTTTATAAACCATTGATAAATTCAAAATTATGTTCTAGTTTACTTTTTAAACTTACCAGGTGAACTACTTTTGTAATATGCAAAATTGCCTTATATTTTACTGGTGTTGTTAGTGTGTGTGTTCAAAAAAGAACAAGATCAACACCATAAAAGTTGAAAATAGGAGTGCACCAATTAAGATTTTCTTGGCCGATACTAATAGCTAATGATTACCCAACCATATTAGCTGATAGTGATATTTAATATTAATGCAGGTAAAGCACTTTAAACTACTGAAAAAAGTAAAATTTAACCTATAGATCTTTTTTTCAGGATGCATTTATATAAACAATTCATAAGTTGTACTTACTTGATGCAATTAATTAAAGAAATGAATAAAAAGAATAACACTTATAAAAGAAAACACCTAAAAAATACTTTGCATTAGTGCTTCTAGAAGCATTTAGCAAAATAAAAACACACATACATTAATGTTTGTTATAATTGTAACTGTCATTAGTTTATAGTAGAAACTTTATTCATGTAAGCATAATTACTAACTTCTCTACAAAAAGTCAGCTTAAACTATCGAATTTATTTTATGAAATTCAACCCAGAAACTTTGCCATTGTAGGGAACAAAAGACACCTTTATCCTTCAAAACATAAATTGTACAAGCTTGCAAGCAATACAGACCAAGATAAAAAAAATACAAAAAGAAATTGATACAATATGTTTTGTAATAGAAGTAACGAAAACTAAGTTTAAATAATTTTCTTATTTATCCAGAAATATATATTTCATTAAATGTTTGGTAATTTATTTTGTTCTGAGGTCTTCATGATCTAATTTATTTAAATGTTTTAGTACTTGAACCAGTGATAGCTGTTTAGATGCTTTTTTTTTTCTGTGGTCCTGCTTCCTTCTTTTCCTTAGCCATCTTTAGGAAATCATTTTATTCACTGAGGTAATGTATTAGATTTGTTGTGTCGAAATCTATTGCCAGTGCTGCCTCCACATGAAATTTTTGCAGGATGTAGTTTGCAAACAGCTGTGTTGTTGCTGTTCTCAGACATTTGAGACATATTTACAGCAGATAGAAATCATGTTGCACACTGTAGCAAATATATGTTTTGTCTCAACTGTTTGTGCATCACATCATTATATGTAACAGCAAGCAAAAATATGGGTGTTTAACTTATCACTTTTATAGGTGTACTAGATTTTTTTTAAGATTTAATTAAGCGACAACCTTTTCAACTAGGAGTGCTTGATATATCAGTAGGCTGTCAACTGGGCACCAACATAAAGATAAATTACATTGGCCATTTTTATTCTTGTAGCCAATAGTGAAGATTGCCTTTGCTTTGAATTTTAGAAATTCTACTTTTGGTGGGAAATTTTACATTAATGCAATGGGTTAGGTATGTGAAATTTGGGAATCAGTAAGCTTATAGCTTTTTTTTTATAACGCAACCACAGCAAGTTATTTGTAGAAGGTAAATATATAAACATGCATAATACATAATAAAAAGAAAGTACTGAAATGGTAAAACTTAGATTGGAATTGTCTACATATACATATGTGCACAATTTGGAATACAAGCAAATAGTAATTATATAAAGGCTGTCATGAAATGAGATTTGTTCTGTAGGTGGTACCACGGATTCATAAGTTTTTTAAACATTCTGATATTTGTTTAGTCTGTGTATTCAAAGTTTGGTAAACCTGTGTTCCTTTAATATCAGAGAATAGCTGTTAAATTACGAACATGCCTTTCAAGAAATGCCACAGATGATCACAAAGTGTGTCTCTAGCTTATAAGACTTGAGATTCATTTCCTAACTTGCACAAAACTAGGAATGTATTTACAGTTTTTGTGCAGGAATGGGGGTATATTATTATTAACTTAAATCCATGTTTACACAGGACAAGGACAAAGAGAATTCTGATTTATTGCCTGAATTCCAATGCAAAATGTGATATTCCACAACCCAACCTTTATATGCCACTGACTATTCAATGACATTTACAGAAGATAATCTTAACTCATCTCAATTTGTGCAAGTAGCTGTATGACCCCTTCAGATGAGCAGGGGGAGACAGATACAATGCCAAAGTGGTATGAGTGTCTAACCATTGGCATATGCAACTTTTATCCAAATAAAAAAAATTACATATTTCCAACCTTTGGTTAAAAAAAAAGAGTATCATAACTATATGCAGAACATCTGCACTATAAATTAAAAAAATTAAATGAATATATTTAACTACAAGTATATTCTAAACCAGTTATGGAAGAATGAAATTGATTACTATTTCAGTCTGTACATAGGATGAACATTGAGAAAAAATTCTCATCAAAATTAACCACAGCTGGTAAATTACTAAATTAAGTCTTCCCAAATGGATTTTGTTTCATCAAATGCCTAATTCTAGTTAAAGTTTCTTGAACAAACAGTGTTGTTATGCTTATTGGTTAAGAGGTGGAACTATTACGATAATAGTTATGATCAAGCTGATTTCCTAAAGTGATAAAGTTTGTGGTTCTTTTTAGGATGAAAAATGTGGTCTTAAATTGAAGTTTACTTATATAGAGATTATATTCCAGGTATAGTGTGGTTAACATACCATTACATTCTTCTTTACTTTTGCTTATAATTCCATGTTCTGTTGTTTTAATGGCTACTCTTTTGTTTATTTGTGTGCCATAAGTGCATATTTATAAGGTGAGTTTGGTAGACTCATTCAATTACAGATAATTAAAACTCTAATATTATTTAGTAATTGTAATTTATTCTTCATCAGAGGACATCATGTGGTTTAAACCTGTGGAGCTCCATAGCAAATATGGTCGTCGTGGGCACATCAAAGAACCTTTAGGTAAGAATGATAGCCTCATGTTTGTTTAGATTTTAACCTCTCCCTCAATCAAAAAAGAAATTAAAGATCAAGGTCACCATTTCAAAAAAATAGAGATTTCTGTGTATATAAAAGGTAACAACCACAAAACACATTTATCTACACATAAAATCGAAACAAACAAAAACTAATATTGGGGGTGTCAGCTTCACTGCTGATTTTTATTTTTGTGTTCATTGTTCTATATGATATTGTGGTAGTTTGAGTTGTTAAAATATGCGTAACTAGCAGAATTTGGTGGAGTGCTACTTTGGTGTTACAAAGGTGCCAAGTTCAAACCCTGAAGATGCAGTTTGTTAACACTTTCCGCTTGGGTTTGGTCAATGTGAATGACCTTGTAAGCACAAGGTAATCAGTACAGTTTCTCTACTATAACTTTTAATATGGTATATATATCTTCAGGAAATTTTTCAAGCTTTCAGCAAAAATTGTCTTTTGTACACAAACAGATACTTAATTAAGTATTTTTACTAAAGATTTGTCCTTGAATATATGGAGTGAGATTGTTGACTGAGAGTGCAAAGTGATTTTCATGTTAATATTAAAAATACATTTCTTCATCTGAAAATTTTCATATTTCATTTGCATAACTTCTAAAACCTCCTAACTAAATATCAAACGTTTTTTCAGCAAAAGTTTTTAATTGTTATTTATTCTACCCCAACTCTGTATGGACCCGGGTCAATTTAACTGACCTTGTAATAACTATTAAAAAAATGCAAAATAAATTTAAGTTACCGTTTTCTTTTTCTAGAATGACTGCAGATTGTAATAGGAATGTACATTTATTTATTCTAACTAGCTTAAACTACGTAATTTTGTTGCCCTTCGAACTGTGTCTAACTAATAATCCTGCCACTCAGGTTGTAAATCACTTGATTATTGTGTAGCTCACATTACCGTATTGAATGATGTAATGCAAGTCAGAAGTTTTACTGAGTTACATTCAAATTTAAATAAACAACTTTATTATCAACATATGTCAATAAACTTGGTATCAAAACATAGTTTATATTTGAAATTTTAATACTATGGAAGTTTTAATCTAAAAAGGCAATATTTAAAATAAATTTTCAGTCTTCACTTCTGTATACCATGTGATTCTTCTCTGCTCTGAATTCTCCATTTTAGATTCTCATTTTATGGGTTTCAGAATGTCTACCAATTAGATGCACCAACTATAGATACTAAAAGGCCAGAATTTAAAATAAAACCTCTCACATTCTTTATTTTCAGAGATATCAATAAAGTTGTTACACCCACCCCAGAAGCTCTTCCCAACTCTTCATGTTTTTGAAATTACATATTTATTTGACACTTACTTGTCAATGGTACATGTTTATAACCAACAGAAAAGCCATTTTATAAACTGCATGATTATGACATCTTTATATTGATTTATTTCAGTAAAAGGTGCCATTTCCCAAGCAGGTTTTATTGAGTGAAGACCAAAATTGGAGTTTATAAGTAATGAAATTTGTTAAACCGTTTTATAGATCAATTAGAAAGCCAAGTAAATTATAATAGTTTTGGAGCATTTACTGTTTGTTTTGTTATTTGTGTTTCAAAGCTATATGAATTATTTTTTGGACAACCAACTTTGTGAGAAAAATTTAAGGTTATTGAAGAAAGGCTTTAAAGAGCAGAAGGCCTTAATTCTGAAATAAGTGATAAATTTAATACTTTTAAGTGTGCTTTTATTTATTGATATGCATGTTTTGAACAAAAGTAACTAAAATTTAAAATTTATTAGATTAGAAACTTAAATGAAAAAAAACAAACTTTTTTGCCTTCAGTAATGCCTGAAGTAACCCCAAACTCTACACTCCTGCTGGGTGTATTTTTGCTATTCACAGTAGTTAGACACAGTTTATAGAGCAATAAAATTAAATGAAAATAGATGCAAGCTGTTATGAGCCGGAGTGTGTTCAGGATAAATAACTGTAAATTTCTATTACAATTTGTAGTTACTCTAGAAAGAAAAAAGGGTAATTTAAATTTATTTCATATTTTTTGTGGGGGGTTACAAGGTTGGTCAAATTGGCTGAGCCCATATACTGTTAGCATAGAGAAAATAAGAGATACAATCTTGAGTTTTACTGAAAAAGAACAATCAATATTCATTTAAGAGATTCTAGAAGTTATTATGCAAAGAAAATTTTAAAACTGTAAGATGAAGAAAGTATTTTTATTCTTAAAATGAAAATCACCTTTCACTTAGACTAGTCACAGTCCGAGTCAGATTGACTAAAGTAAAATCAAAGACGAGTCTTTTGTAGAAGCATTTTTTTAAAAATTCTAATTCTTTTGTGTGCAATGTACTTGTAATGTTTACTATAAGTTTACCTAATGTTGTGAACATACACTGTGTAAATTTGGAATTATAGTTAACATTAATTCTCCAGTATGGGCTTCGTCCAATGGACCAACCCCATGCACTAAGGTTAACATTCAGTAGTCATCCTTCTATAACCTGAGGGCAGGTCTTGTATATGAAAAGAGGAAGAATGTGATATTTTGAGTTTTAAAAAATGTCCTACTAGTATTTACTAAAGAATAACTCGTGAGTTCAATTAATAGGGTGCCTGTGTGGTGTGTTAAGAGTTAACAGCTTCAAACCCAAATCAAGGTTTTAGTATGCACAATTTTGATTAATTAGTCAGTTCAAAAACATAAGGGTTGTAAATGATCTCTAATAGGGTTTGAGGAATGCTTGTTAATCGAGAAGTGATTTTGTTTTAGTATTTTTCAAATGTAGCACTGTGATAATTTTACACATGATTAATTAATCTCCTGAATTTACAAAAGAACACTATATGATGTGAACTTATCATATGCATTTCCATTCTCCTCTTTATTTTAGTGAAATCGTAATTAATTACTCTATTGTTTTGATCATGATGTTTATAGTATTGAAATCCATTTTAAAAATACTGTGAAGAAAATTTTCTGCTATGGGCAAGAAATATTGATATAGTGAACAATTGCAAAAAATGGATGAACAGTAATTTGATTGTACTGTTGTTGTAACAATGTTTAAAAATTAGTAATTTATATATAAATGAAACTTGAGATAGAATTATAACTCCATGTAAAAATCAAAATGAAGTTTTTAAGAATTGGAATGTTGTTTTAAATTTGTTTCTTCTTTCTCTAGGTACTCATGGTCACATGAAATGTGTGTTCGATAGTCAGTTAAAGTCCCAAGACACTGTACTAATGAATTTGTACAAGAGGATATTTCCAAAGTGGACATATGATGCCCATGTATCCACCCCACCATCTCTTTTTCAGGCCCATACCAGCATAGGGAATGATGATGGTGATATGGAAGCTGAATTATTTGACTGAAATGCCGAGGCTTAATAGGACTTTATATTAAATCAACATTTCATAAAGTTCATCTGTGTGCATTTCTGTGAGAAATAAAAGAAGTTTGTTCATGTATTTAGCTACTTTTTAAGAGTCACCTTGGTTTGTATGCAGTCTTTCTTTCATACCTTATGATTCATTGTGATGTTTTTGAGATTTGGAAACATTTAAAGGTAGAAATGTCTTTCAGAACTATGTTTCTTTAGTATTCTGCAAGCTGTAGTCCTTAATTTTAATGTTATTGCCTTGTCTAGCTGGCAGATGACACTGGAGCATGAGTATGAAACCGGATAAAAATTTGATAAGGTGAAATTGATATTTTTACATATCATTGATTATGGGAAAGATTGCAAATCACTGGGGTAAAAGAAGTGGCAGAGTGATTGGAAGTATTCTTTCAGACATTGCCACTGATTCTATAGTATTGTTACTGCTGTTTAAAGATATAACCAAAACACATACAAATTTCCACCTGTAGATACAAATAACAAAACACTACAATATTTAGACTCTTCTGCTTTTTTCTCTTCTTTATCAATTTCTTCTACCAGTTTTGTGACTTCAAAAATCACTCTTCAGAATATAGTTTGTGATTCTTAGTAATAGTTTTTAATGTGTCACAATTCCAACTAACTTTACACAACTACTGCTACATGGAGAATGTACTATATTTGTCGCGGATAGCTGTGCCATACATCAGGAGTTCCCCAACTTTGCCAACTGGTGGACCCCCTCCCATTAAAAATAATTTTTATTATGTGTGTAACTGGTGTATCGTATGCATATTTTGCTACCTTTAATTTGGGATATTTATATATGTTACTATATTAGTTTTATAATGTCTTAGTATTTTATTTTATTTGTTACTCTTTCAATAAATGGGAATTTCATAAATTTGATGTATTATTGCGAACCCCCTTAAGTACTATCATGGACCACAGTTTGGAAACCTCTGCCATACATAATGCATAGATTTTTGATAGACGTTTTTTACTGACATGCTAAGTAAATTCTTCAGGGAAAACTTTCTCACACAAATGAGTAACTTCTATTGCTATAGTACTGAGGTAAACCACCAAAATATGATAGTGTTCACTCTGCAGCCTGTAATATAAACAGTACTGTTGTCAGTAATCCACAGCTGATATTCTTCCTTACCAATAACACTTTGGAAATTGCTTTTTCATGCCTCAGTGGGTGGACATTCATCTAGATTACCATAAAAAAACAATGCTAATAAAAGATAAATCTTCATTATTTTTACTGGAAATGATTTTTGATTTTTTTTAACTGTATTATTTGTTCAAATCGTTAAAGTTGCAGTAGAGTTTGCACTACACTGACCATTTAATAAGAATTCACAAGTAATTGTTTGTAAGCATCCTAGAAATGTATAGAAGATGGGTTCTCCCTGGATGCTCCATTTTCCCTTGCACAAGCAAAAAATATCTATCTCTATGTTTTCTTGGTTCAACCTGTTAATTAGAACACAGCTTTGATCATGGGAAACTTAAAGATAATATTCAAGCAGTGTTCATCTGTCATGCTTTCCCACATGGCAACTGGTTAGTGCTATCTGAAGTATAGAGGCTTTTTCGTTTCTTATAACACTCATTTGAAAAGCCAGAGTTTAGAATCAGACCTTAACTTTTTTCCTTTTTTTTGCAAGTTATTTCATGCTATTAAAATACTCTCGTAACCTCAGCTGTAAATGCAGTTCAGTTTCTGCAAATAGTGACTTAATATTTCATTTTCCAACATGACATGCATGGTAGAAAACATTGATAGCTCAAGATGCTTAAGTTAATTTTGGGGCCAGTCACCTTAGAAGGTAAAAGTCTACACTATATTTCTATTTTACGTTCCCTTCTTCAAATTATTGCAAATGAATTTTAGTAAATGAGGAAGATCACATAAACAAATGCTTTGTAATTATTAATTTACGACAAAGGTTTGATTTCTAGAATTTTTAGGGAAAGAACCATTGTATATTATTTATAACTCCTTGATCACATACTAGTGCCTTCACAACCAAATCAGTAGCCATAACCTTCTAACTACACTGCTCTACAGGTTTCTTCGTTGTATGTGCTAGCATTGCTTCCATTTTATATTTAGCTCCATAACAAGAAACACCAGTGCAAAATTGGCCAATGCTAATTCTATACTATCTGTAACACACAATAACATAACTATTTTTTTATCATTCACTACATAACTTCTATCTTTTTATTTGAAAACAGATTAATTTGCAACAGCTAGGTAACACTTATGTAGATTTTGCTAAGATATCTTTAAGGAAAATGTTACCTTTAATTGATGACAAACCTACATACAACCTCAAAGAATTCTGCTTAAACATCACTACACATTTATTTTATGCAGCAAATTCCAAAGCATTTGTTTAGTTGGTGAAGAGGTCATGTTTTTTAGTCCCAGCACCACCTGGAAGAAGGTCCACCTTGTGATCAGAATTATGTATTTCATGCCCATGCTGACTGTTACTATTTTTCCCTCCACATGACTTTGTTCACTTCTCACTGTTTGACTCACACACAGATGAAGGTTGATGATTTTTAGTGTAACTAAACTTAAGAATTTCTGCTGCTTGACAGTTTTTTAAGGTTTTTTTACGGGAAAAACTTTGTATTGCACTAGGCAGAAGTCTGTTCTGTGTTAATAAATTGCAAGTCTTTATGGTAGTCTGCACAGATCCAGCAATTACTGTGCAATCTTACAAGATCTTTTGTACATAAAATATCTAGATCTTGATAATGGCAATTGTTGAGCCATATTTTGCTTTGTCAATTAATACAAAATAATTACCAGCAATGAGAAAATTGTGCATATAAAAACATCTGTCTGCATTTAATTCAATATGGCCTTAGAGGAACATTAATGCTGACCTAATATTATGCTGAAATGGATCCTTTTATAGGTGGGTGTAACAATATTCTGCTGAGAAAAAAAAAAAAGAAGTAAAAGATAATCTTATTGAAGTTTACAAGTTAATCTATATATATAAATATAATATACAAGTATCATAAGAAAAGAGAAAGATACAATTACAAAATAATTCTAAAATGATTAGATATGTTTGTCATCTATCTTTTGGAAATTTGAAAAATGACAAGTTCTTGAAATCCTCCTTGCTATTGTTAAGTTATTCTAGGTATGTGCAGTTTTCATATCACACGTAGTCAAGAAAATTACCTTTGTTCTTTATCCTTCGTTTGAGATAACTTCTGGTCAGCCTGTGGGAGGTATGGCTACAAAGTTGCACCTTGGGCATGAATGTAGACAGCTGTATCCTCAAAGGTAGTTCAGAGAGGAAGTAATTCAATCCAGTAAAAGTGACTGTTCATCATCTAAAAGCAAGTACACACACTGTGCACATTGAATAAAGATTATTCATTGTATCTTTGTACAATTGTGTCCAATCACTTTATTTCCTTCTCACAAATTCACTTGCACATAGAACTCAAAAATATTTCTTTGTCTAGAAATTCTCTTTTATTTTTTTAGATTACAAAACCCAAACAACATATATATCAAAATAAAACATTAAATGAAATAGTCTCCACTCTTAACAATGATGCTTTTCCATCTTACATTCAGATTGTTAATACCCTGATTAAAGAAATCACTTGGCTTTGAAACAAAAAACATGTTGATGTCCTCTTTCACACCTTCCACATTTGCATACATTTTCCCATTAAGATGGTGTTGCAGCAAATGAAAAGATGGTAATCTGATAGTGCCATATGTAAAGAATATGGTGGATGGGGGAGAACTTCCAAACCCAATTCCATAATCTTGTGTTGTGTCAAACGTGCCACATGTGGATGTGCATTGGTCGTGGAGAAGAAGAACACCTTTCCGATTGACGTGTGAAGGGCATTTCTTATGAAGGGCTTGATTTAAACGTTCCAGTTGCTGATTATAGATCTCTGCATTGTCAGTTCGCTGTAGATTGAGGAGTTCCAAATGAATTACTCCTTTGATGTCCCACCAAATGCAAAGCATCACTTTCTGCTGATGGAGTCCAGATTTTGGGGTCGGAAGTGGTTTTTGTCTAGGACTGAGCCATTGTTTTTGTTCTTTAATATTAGCATAGAGAATCCATTTTTCACCACTGGTGACAATTCTATCCAAAAATGGTTCACGTGCATTACGCGCCAAAAGAGACGAAGCAACGTTCACACGTAGGAAACGATGATCATCAGAGAGTTCGTGAGGCACACAAACACCTTCTTTATGGAGTTTTTCCATATTCCTTAGATGTTTATGTATTATTTCATGAGAGACATGCAATTTCAGGGTCATTTCACGAGTGTGTTGCCTTGGGTTAGACTCAACAAGCGTCTTCACAGCATCAATATTAATTCCAACATGTCGGCCCCTGCCATCACAGTTTTTAAGGCTAAAGTCACCTGAACGAAATTTGTTGAACCATCGTTGACACTTACGAACGTTTAAAACATTTCCATAAACTTCTTTGATATTCTTTTTGGCTATAGGGGC